CTACTATATGGACAAGTGGACTCTGGTTGTTATTGTAAAAAAGCGTTTATCTGCCCCCTGATTACATTATCTTGATTAAGTTTGAATAAGTAAATCTTTTCTTACAATCATTGTTGTTCCTGCTAATTAAGTCATTTACTGGTCTTATCAATGTCCAGGGAATAGGAGGCTCGGAGATGTTTAGTTTTTCTTGGGGGAATAAACATGTTTTTTTGTGTTCACTATTTTTATAGAAACTGAGAAGGAGACGTAGGGTTCGTACTTTGGAGTCCATTAAAATGCACAGACTGGTGTGTTTTTTTCTTGGGCTGGCTTTTCAAAATATATATTTCTGAATTCATTGAATATATGCATACATTTCCTGTTAGATTGGCTCGATGGCTGCGGTCGATCAGTCTGGACGTGTTTTAGCTTTATCATACGACAGTTACCTACGCAGAATTACTAATTAGGATAAGTAGGTAACATACATTTTACCCGCCAGAGAAGGCGATACGGCTCATCTAGATACTATGGTTGACAGATAAGATGTTCATTATTTCCTTTTGTTTTGAAATAATCTTAAACACAACCCCACCTAAAACCATCACTTAGTGCATACCGTGATCGATACGACCGGACAATACGGATACGACCGGACAATACGCAGTTATCTGGTTGCTAGCTGATCTAAATCATCAATCGGCGGAGACCGGGGTATGAGCAGTTAAGCAACATGCTTCTTTGGAGCGTGCCTTAAGAAAGCGGTATTTTGAAGAAAAAAAAAACTCATGGCGGGAACGTGGGCTCTTGTGTTTTTCGAAAACGGAGCGTTTTTCTTATTTCAGATTCAGAATATTTCAAGCCGCTCCCCCGAACGTCACAAACCGCGCAGAATTTATACCAAACTGGCGCACTATGGCTGCCGTCGCATTATCCAGCTGGGGCTGCACACTAGTGGTGGTGGAGGGGATCCCCATTACCTGTACAGGGCTTTGAGTGGAGTGTCCAGAAAGGCGCTATATAGGTGAAGTTTGTTGTTGTTGTTGTTGTTGTTGTTATTAGAAGGTCATAAATTGTAAAGGCCAGGGGTGTAAATCGTCCAGATACTACCCATAGTATTACAGGGGACTGTAGTATTACATCTACTATCTGGATGTCTACTTGAAAATCCACTGGCAACTGATGTAACGACCAAATTAGTGGCATAAGTTCAGAGAGACTGGAGCAGATCTGGCATGCTGGAGTCTGTCCAGAGTGTGGTATTGTCTATCAGCCAATCAATCAATCATGAACTCAATTTATCCATCATGTTACTCATTGACCAATTATGCCTTCAAACAGTGTTGAATAAGGAAATACTCGAACAGTAGCACAATCCTTAGAAATGAGGTTCTGACTTCGGCAATGTGATTAGTCAAACAGTTCTAATCACAGACATACTGTAAATATAGGTCAGGACCTCAGGCTCCAAAATGGCATAAAAGCTCTTCAACACTTGAGTCAAGAGAGATAGAATGTCATAAATTATACCTCTAAAGAGTAGGTTTTAATAACATGTTTTTAGAACCAACCAACAGTGTCACTGTGTTAGCTGGGGTTAGATTCAACCCCAAACTCAAATTGAGCAATTCCTGACTGCTGTGGGGCTGTTTAGAAACCTACATTTCATCTAAATGTATTGTTTTTTTCCTGGGTTATGATTACAGCAGCAATCTGGTTTTCCTAAGGGTCTCCGGCCCCTGAAACTCAACTCATCCTGCAGTTACTGCACGTTTTCCTGAAAGTGTCCCGTCGTGTCCCGAGAACTGCCGAGACGAGACGGTCGGATCGGCGCAGCGAACACGTCCGAGCCCGGAGGATCCGAGCTCGGTTCCACAGTTCCTTCATTTCACCTCTCCATGGAGAAACGGCTATGATTCCAGTGGCCTTTCCGTCTGCGCCCTTTTACAGGGATGTCGTCAGAAAGGCGTGAGAAATAAAGATTATCCTTAAACCTGGATGACACTCCCCCGTTCTCTGTTTTAGAATCTCTCCATTCTCGTGCAGATTTTAGAGTTTCATACATCTTCCGTAGGTCGCCGGTGGACCTCACCAGCTCCGTCTCACCTGCTCCGAGCCCGTTCTCACTCACACACAAAGGATGGTTCTCCTTTTCTTCCGATACCTGCTGATTCCCCCAGCCTCACACCTGAAGAAAAGTCAACAGCCAAAGAATGTTGCGTCTCTTTGTTGCTGTTGTTTTTCAGTGTGGAGTTCATGTTTATTTGCTCGTTTGCAGTCGACACATTCAGTTCAATTCAAGATGCCGTCGTGGCATGGCCAACGAGTCCAATCAGTGTTGCCAAAGGAAAACAAATACGATTAACATACACATCTACAGACATTTACAATACAGACACATCATGAGCTATTTACATGTGAACGCAGGCTGACGCGTCTCCCCCTCGAAGCTCACACTCGTTCATTTAAAAGGTATGTAAAAGAACATTAACGATTGAGATGCGTCCCTTTCGCGTAGACATTAAGCAGATAAAACTATTAAGGCAGGGTATGGCTAATAAAATGTGATCAGATTAAGAACAATTAAAAAACGAGCGTGATATACATTAAACTGGCATAACAGCGGAAAACAATATTCCGTGGGTCTGTGGAACACGGGGAATATGGCTGGGAGATCATAGGTTTATTGTATATAATTTTAGCGTTACAGTCACATCTAAGCATCCAAATGTGAAAGACATGTTCTTCTATAATGTACATACCGACAGTCTCACCATGGGAGAAAATATGTTTTAATTTAAGGAATGTTTCATTATTAATTCTACAGTACATGTCGGGCATTAGAGAAGTTATGCAGGGATGATTTCAACTCACATTACATTACGACATTACATCTGATCAAAATTTATTGGGGTTTTCTTCTGGTTTGTGATTACAGCAGCAATCTGGTTTTTCCTAAGGGTCTCCAATCCCTGCCATTATTACGGAATCAGATTCAATGCAAGAGATCTTTTTATACCTTTTTTTTTTAAATTTACTAGAGAGGCGAATGCCAATGGTTGGGTTCGTCAGGAGTTAATTTAAGGGAAAAAAAAAACAGGGAACTGCTTTTCCCCTCCCAGTCCGTCATCGTCCCGTGATGCACCACGCTAAGCAGCCTGATGAGTTTGTGCAGAAGTTGACGGAAGCGGTCGGCTGCAAGAACACACGGAGGATTAGGAAAGAGAGGCTGTGTGACAATCGGCGTGTTTCATAAGTCAGCGTGTGCTCGTTGACTTCGACACTCCAGCCTTTTCGTTTGGAAACGGCTTCGGAAAGCGCCGATACTCTCGCCGACCACCTTGGCCGCCCTCCGGGAAAGACGGCAGGCGCCTGCCCGCTTTCGGAAAAGCCTGTCCGCCTGCAGATTCGGGCGACCCCGGGGGATGATCTTCGGCCTCTGCGAGGGAGCCGCTACCTGTTGGATTTTAAGGCTTAAAACGGGTTGTGATCACGGTAAGAAACCGGGTGGTTATTTCTGCGACACAGGCCGATGTGTGCGCCGCGCTGCCTCTGTGCTACAGGACACAAACTGTGTTTCTTATCCAAACTTAAGTTCGGTCCTCCCGGTTTGCTTGGCTACATTTGTGTTGTAAGCGTGTGCGGTCTGAGGCGAAAAAACTACATCTCCGTTTTTTCGTGCCCTTTGACAACAGTGAAATCTTGCTGTGGGCAGCTTTCCGCTCACTTAGCGATTACTGTCGATGTCGAGTGATTCCCAGAAATGCACGAAAAACGCGACTCCCTGGTCGGTTCCGGTTGCTTTCTGCAGGTATTGAGGTGTGAATGCAGTGGACGGACTCGTTTAAGTAGCTCGTACTTTCGGTTCGATTAAACGGGTCCAACCCCCGGTACCGTTCCGTGCTAAGGTTGCGAATTCGTCTTGTGTATTTAATTATTGATGGCGGATTTCTCCTCAAATTCGTATTATACTCGGATACAATCATGGCTAAAGTACTTTCAGCCTCTTCCTTATCCGTAAAACAACGTGCAAGTGTGCTATTTCAGTTGTTGGATAGATTTGGTTGTGGCTTTTTATCCCAAAGACCCTTTTTAGCTTGAAAAACTAAGAGTAGAGTTTAAGACGGGAGTTGTTAGATGATATCACTTTCCTAATCTGTTTCAGCGACAGTCTTATCAAACACTAAAACACTTGTGCCCTTAGCTTCCTTTATGACACAAGACTGTATTTCAGACAGAAACACAGGCTGCAATAGTAAACAGGCATTAGTTCAGAGTATTGTGTGGTCTGACTTCTTACTGCAATCCTAAGAACTGAAAACCTTAAGCATTTTAACTGAAACTGTGGACACACTGAAGAATTTGTTAACCTTTCTAACAAACAAGAAGTACTAAAGGCACGATCAGTCCCTGTTTCAGGCTCTATTATTCCGTCTGAATTGTATGTAACTGCGGTATCTGGGGAAATGTTGTCCATATATTGGTTTATTTATTATTTTCAATTAAACAGTTATCCACTGTACTTTTGGAGTTTTAGAAAGCGTTAGCAGGAAATGCTTGCTTTCAGTCAGTGAAAGAGGGCATTGTCCTCACTCGTGCTGCTGGGTCAGGCATGTCTTTCATCGTGTGTTATGTTTGTGAATTTTCTGGGTTTCACATTCTTCCCTGGGAATCTCCCACTCTCCCTTCATAACGCTCTTGGAATGGGAGCTGTAGGCTGAACTGGGCCCTTGCCTACAGATGGAATACAGACCAGTGAGCTGCAGTTCAAACACTTTGAAGCATCCAGCACGTACAGTAATGGTTCTAATAATAGTCGTTAGACTCTTTTCTCAGTAAACCACATGACTGGTAAATCAAGCTGTGTCAGTGGCAAGGCTTAAACCCAAACAAGGCTCCACAGCCGAAACGATGTTTTCTTTCTTCTCTTTTCAGCATGAAATAAACCTGTTACTTGTTCCTAGGATACATGAGTTACTCCTCCACTCGAGACCTTGAAGAAACGTAGGCCAGCTGGGAATGCACAAAGCAGTCAAACAGTTCCTGAAGGCTTAATTGTCAACTCTTGACAGGCAGTTGATGCTAAGATCCATAAGATTGGCTTGGTGGCACAGTGATTAGCATTGCTGCCCTGGTTCAATTCCAGACCTGGGGTGCTATCTGCACGGAGTTTGTATGTTCTCCTTGTGTTTGCATGGGTTTTCCTTCAGGAGTTCCTGTTTCTTTCCCATGGGCTGAAGATGTACAGGCAGGTCCGTCGACTTCTGGGGAAAATTGGGCCTGGTCTGAGTTTTGCGTCTGTGTTTGTGTGCCTGCCTTGCGATTCGACTGACAACTCTTCCAGGGTGTGCTCCAACTTGTGCCCATTGCTTGCCGGAGTAGGCTCCAGTTCCCCCACAGCCCTCTCTCAGATAAAGAGGTTAGAAGATGGGTGGGTCTATAAGATTGGGCGCAGAAGGAGTGCTTCTATATATCATGGAGTTCTAAGTTACTCTGCTGCTGTGACATGCGACTTACAAGGTCAAACAAAGGTGAATAAGAACTCTTCTGTGTTCTTAGAATCAGAGCTTTTTTGGGCTCAAAAGTCACATTTTGGGGGAGGCTTTGTTTCTGAAGAACAATAGTTTTAAAAAGTCGTGCAGGGAGGAAAGGTGGAATGGAACCTTTCCATGAAGTCAGAGGCTAACTTCCTCAACACAGTACCGTAAATATGTAAAAATGTGTTATCTTCACCCCTCCTCAACCAGATTCTTCAAGGTTCATTCTCAAATTTGAGGTTTTGTTTTGCTGACACGGTGTGAAGGCAGACGCTTTAAATAAGCTTCCCTTTTACCTTGAAGCTGTATTTAATTTGACCAATGTGGCTTCATAAGTCAGCATGTTTGCCTGAAGAAAAGCAAGCTTCAGAACTAACCTTTAGCATCCTAGCTGTAGGAAACAGGTTGCATTTCCATGCATGTGATTTGCACACTGCATGGTGTTTACTTCTACAGCCAGCTCCAGTAAACTTTGGTTCAGATAAATAAAACCCATGATGGTAGGACAGCAAATGCTTTGTAATTATTCAAGGCTAAAGGTCATGACTGCAAACTGATGTGTGTTGTTCAAGAAGGAGGGCTTTCCTACAGCTAACAAGTGGTACAGCGCGTGTCGGTGAAAATGTTCTGTGGCATAAGAGGTTAGGATTTTGCAGTGTGTGGATCTTTTTAATGTTTGACAATCATTTTTATTTTTAGCCCACCCCTTTAGCAATTTGGAGTCATCTCAGCTGTAATCTTCCAAACACACTCCAAATGAGGAAATACTGATGGAATCCCCACTCAGCCTGCCACCCACCTTTGGGTCTTGAGTCTTCGTACATTTCCGGCTACGCAGCCCTGGGGTAGGAGGTGCTTCACCACTAGCCTGTAGGGACCCTGGTAGGTCACAGGCCATGTTCTGCAGGGAGAACTCTTATTTGGCTCTACGTACAGTATGTACAGTATAATGTGCTGTGCACTTTTGGATCCCTTCACAGCAAATTTTAGAATTCAACAGTGTGCTCCACATGCTTTTGCCTGGAATGAAACATTGTGAAAGAGCATTGCATAGGTAAGGTTGGAGAGCAAACATCCTTTGCCACTCAAGCTCTCTTCTGCAGTTAACTGTTTTTTGTTGTTGTCTGAGCTCACTTCACTTGTTTGCTGACAAGTTCTGAGGACATTGCATGTAAATTTTCACACCCCACCCCCTTCAGATGTGCCTGCAAGCAAGTGGTAAAGATGGCAGAAGCAGATAAATTCACTGTGGCAAAGACTGAGAAAAGGAAGCATGATTCTTCAGATCTTTAATCTGTATGAGTTTTGTGGAACAAATACATTGCTTTGAATACGAATATTTCTGTAGTACAGGGCAGACGCTGGTTATATACAGTGTGATACAATGTGAGCAACAAGTTGAACCATACTTCATTAACAAGAGTGAGCACTGGGCACTTCTGCTTTGGTGAGGGCAATATTTTAAACCTTCATTTGTTTGCAGAGGGGGAGCATACTGAAAATATGCAAATGCACTTAGTTCCATGAATTCTTCTGCTCCACGTCCAGATAAGCTCCAGGCTGCTGCTGAAAGTGCAGCTGGTTATGCCTTGCTCCAGCATAAGAACAAATTGAATGCTATCCATATACATCCATCCATGTTCTAAGTCCTAACTGCTAAAGGGGTGCAGAGGGGCGGGAGCCTATCATAGCAAGCAGTGGGCGCAAAGCAGGATACACCCTGGATGAGAGGCCAGTCTGTCGCAGGACAGACTGACTGAGGCCGATGAACTTGCTACTGTATCTGGTAGACTGAAGCATAGCATGTGGGAGAAAACCCACGCGAGCACAGAGAGACCGTTCAACTCCATGCAGTCTGGAATTGAACCCGGGGTCCCAGCACTGCGAGACGGTAATACTGACCGGTGCACCACGGCCCAGATACAGGTAAGTTAATTGGCTTTGGTACCTGTGTGCGCCCTGCGATGGATTCGCACCTATGGCTTACTGGGATAGGATGCAGCTCCTCTGCGACCCTGTATTGGATAAAGAGAACGAATGGATGTATTTAATAATTAAACAAAATAATAAAGCTTCGCGTCATTGGAGATGCACTCCGGGCAGCTTGCAGCCGACGACAGCCAACTGCTCAAAGTCTGGTCTTCCACCCTCCATCTCAACAGCCTGCAGGAGTCGGAAGCTTTGGAAATGGTGCCTTAATCATGCTCGTGCAGCACATCTTGACCCTCTTCATTTTCGTTTTTATACACGAGCCGAAAGTGAACTGTACAGAATGAGGAAGTGCACAAGACTGCAGAATTCTCACCCGACTAAACGAGCTGATGCACTGATAGCACCACTGAAAGTCTCTTTAACAGCTGTATGATCTTTATTTCTGCTCGGTGGTTTGTGGCGTAGGGGAATCTTCTGTTTTGTACTTGCTGGAGGGAAATCCTGGAAGGAATAGTGCGGATTTAAAGTTCATTTTAATTTAATGCTTCAGTCTGCTTGCCAGTCACAAAGTGTAAACCCAGTGTTTAATGGTGGGTGTTTAATAAGAGTTTCTTTCAATAGAAACCTGTTAGCTAGTATTGGACTTGCAACTGGAAATGGGCTTTTAAATGGAAGTTATGATTTTAATCAAGGCTTGAGGTGGGACTGAGTTTTAGATAACCCATAAGTCTGGGCTTTCTTTTATAGTGACATGTGAGTGAAGAGAACTTGGGGAGGAGCGATGATTTCTACTCACACACCGGAAAGTGGCCCTGAGCCTAAAGAAGTCAAACAGGTAAGCTTTGATACCGGTAATCCTTGTGCGCCACTGTCGAAAGGGTTTAATAACCATGAGCAAACGGGTTTGAGACGCAGCTGTAAAAACTGTACTAAGGAGGAAATACAGGAGAAAAAATATGCTGCTGCAGTTTTTTTCCTTCTTTCGCTCAATCATTCTTCACTTAAAAAAAAAAGAATCTGTTGAATCTGTTAGACACTAGAACTTGTAACATTTAGCTATGTATCCCAGACCAGGAAGAGACATGTCTGGAGACCTTTAAGTGCTGTGCAAAAGTGGTTTTGTCACCAAAATATATTAAGTACAGGAGCAGAGAAACCAGGCACTTGAATTTAACAGGCGAGCATACCAGAAGTTCAGAAAATGAAAAACCAATTTATTAAAATCCTGGTTTCAAGAGTGCTTTCAGTATTTACTCTGGGGTTCAAAAATCCTTGCTATTCTAAGGTGTAAGAGCACAAAAGAGACTGGTTTCTTTTTGATCTGCTGAATATTACCTGTACACATTAGACAATCAGGTGATTTAGTTTCAGGCTTGCAGGAGCAAGGACTGAATGCCATTTCAGATTTTAGAGAAGTTCTATATATGGGTTTGTGTAGGGACGTCTGTACACGTAGGAAAGTTTCAGTGAGCAGCAGGCACACTGTCATGTGTTCACTTCCTACTTGCTTTGGGAACTGAGAACAGTTGTATTCTTGTTGATTTGTAAAATATCCTTCTTTTACAAGCTAAAATAAAGATTTACTAAGAAGAGGATTCCACAACACATAATTAACACTTTTAAAGGTACTATCATCAGATTTGTAGCCATAACCTACATTTGAAAATAATGCAAATCCTGCCACTGTAGAGTAAAAAACAAATATCAGCTAGAATATCTGTCCAAGGATACAAACATCTTCATTTAAGATGTTTTTATTTGGCTTTTGGGGGGCATTATTGTCACTGATTGTTTCTAATCTGTTACAAGATGAAGTAACATCTGTATAAAAGGAGCTGAGGTGTAGCTTTTGGTCCCATCAGTAGAGAACTGGCAAGATGGATCAGAGGTGGCAGAATGAAATCTCTCTTGGTTAGCACCTGGGTCTAGTGGAACATAACTTGTACTCTAAAGCAGAATGAAGCTGCGGTATTTGTTACCAGCTAATTTGCTGTGATGAAGTCCCACAGTGACCGTTGTTATGGCTGTGTGGTACCCCAGTGGCGCAAGGCTAAAATACCTTAAGGAATGGAGTCCCACAGGTTTTATGACATCAATGTCATGTGTAAAATGTAGAGCTTTGCAACCTGTGCAGGCTGTTGTACTGCTCCCTGGCATCTTCCTGCAGTACATTTTTTTTAGATTAGTGTGAAGTAAAAATAGCGATTCTTTTGGCCCAGTGAGAAATCCACCCCCGTAGCACAGGAGGTATTCACCCAGAGAGGAACAACGGACCCAGGTCGTTGTGGAATAACTCGTTCCCGGCAGCGGTGTGTTTTACAACCCAGCCTTCTTCTTCTGGGCTGCAGGGGCTCAAGACCACGCTGGCCTTGTCGCTCAAGGAGCTGCAGAAGCGCTACGTGAACTCCGACGCCGCCGTCACCAGCGACGACGGGGACGCCAACGTCCTGTGCAGCGCGCTGGAGGCCGTGTTCATCCACGGCATCAAGACCCGGCACATCAGGACCGAAGCCGGGGGCAGGGGGAAGAAAGCAGGCTCGCGGGCTCCTCTGCCACAGCCCGTGTTCTGGACTCTGCTGAAGACCATCACGCACCGGTGCGTAGCTCACCCCCTCCAGTTTCATACTGGAACCAGGCATGAGGGATGAGTGGATTTAAACCCCTCCCCGATTTTCTGATGATCAGTGGTTTTTGCCAGCCAGAACGTGCATTACACTCTGGGTTGGAGTAGCCTAGCTTCCCTTATAAAGTTACGCGGCAGTCGTCCTTGGCCACGGCAGGTTTTTAATTATGAGATTAGGCTGCTAATTGCCACACATGTCTTTGTCCTCTCTGATAAACTGGTTTGTGTCAGGCATTTGTGCACAGAGGCTGGGAAGAACAGATCCAGCAGAAATGTAATTTAAAGCAGATGAATGCATCATGATTTATTTTGGTCCTAAAACCCAGCTGCGGCGCAGGCCACTCCTGTGATGAATAACTACAGCGGTAGCTTAAATCAGTGGACTGGTAGGTTTCCATCGGAAAAGGTTACTTATTTTCCGTCATGAATGTCATAGCTAAAATATCCATTATGTTAGTCATGTGCATATCACATTGTTCTTTTTTGTTCCACTGTTCCTCAGAGATGTGACCACAGAACTGGAACATCTGAACTTCATCAACACGGATGTCGGCCGCTGTCGGGCCTGGGTTCGACTGGCACTCAATGATGGCCTGATGGAGTGCTACCTCGTATCCCTGCTCCGCGAGAGGTCCAAGCTCTGCGAGTACTACCAGCCCGCGGCTCTACTGCTTGACACGGAGGACCGCGAAGTTCTGCTGACGTACCTGCAGGGCCTGACCTCGCTGTCCTTCCAGCTCTCCTACAAGTCTGCCATGCTGAACGAGTGGACTGTCACTCCTCTAGTGATGGCCGGGCTTGTGCCCAGTTCTGACTCCTTCGACCTCCTCACTTCTTCCAATGGCGACGCTAAGTGTAAGGAGTCCTGGGATTCTGTGTCCCAGTCTTCTGGTTCCGATATCATCGAAGTCCATCACAACTCGGGGCAAGGCTTGTCTCAGGGTAGGAACTCTGGGAAGACCAAGCTCACCTCTTCCAACTTGAGCCTGGACACCACCGGCTCCTCCCAGCTGTCTTCCAGCCAGAGCTCGGACAGCCTCCCCCAGGTTAATGGGCACAAGAGTCCAGATACTGCTCTCGAGGAGCAGTGGTCACATGCCTTTGATGTCATCTCCGATGAGGATCCTGGGAAACCTGTAAAAGAGTGAGTAGGGCGTAAGACGTCTGGAGTCAGGAGTGTTGTCATCTGAAGGATTCTCTCTTCCACCTCTTGTGAAACACCACCCAGGGTTCTCTTTTGATTTTGGAATGAGAAAACTGCAATTTTCACTCAATTTTTGTCTAAGGTTTTGCAAGATGCTCCAAACGTGTGACACAAAAATATTAACCCTGTGTCATTAACAGCTACATTCATTGTGCATTTTTAATTGCAAACTTAATATCAGTATCTTATAAAGATCATCGAGAACAAAGTTTGTTGACTTCTTAGAACATTAAATGGTAACCTGTAAAGTCATCTTGGTAAAGCATTGTAGCTCTGCTCCACCGAGAGGGAGAATTGCACACCGCGTTGATTTCACGAAGGGTGAGGTCACCTCTGTAACGTGTTCAGTGTCGCCAAGTCCTGTTATATTGGCATTGTCTGAAAGACTAACATAAAGCGAGCGTGAAGCACGTGTTTGTTCTTTACCTTTCTTCATATGACCTATGATAGCATTTCTCACCAGCTACTGCATTCACGTCGCTTCTTTAATGTCTCCTCCCAAGGATAATTGTGGATTTCAGCGAAGGTGCCAGTTCCACGCCGGACCCCACGAGGGAAGACTCCTATGCTTCGAGTCAGCCGCCAGATCATTCCCTCTCGGAGACGGCGGAATCTAGCGGCACGGACAGCGAGGCGGCCTCTCCGGTCTCTCCCGCAGCCCCGCCCGTGGAGGCGGAGCCGACTGTGGCCCCGCCTCCGGAGCCCCGCCCTGAGAACGCGGGCAGAGGAGCGCCCGGCCCGACGCAGCCGCCTGCCTCTGCCCGCGCTCCGGAGTTTCCTGTCCTGAAGCAGGAGAAGAAAAGGAGGCTGAAACTGAAAACCCCTCTTCCCGAACCCCATGCCTGTGTGAGTGAAGAGCGAAGACCAGAGGCCACACCACGAACCCCAGAGAGCAGCCCCAGCAGGAAAGAGTCTGTTGATTGCCTGTATTCTCCCACCACAGGGCTTCCAGTGAGTTGTTCTTTTATTCTGATCTTTATAGCAGTGTCATCATTTTGTTTAACCTGACGGCCTGCATTTAAATTATTTGATCTATGTGAAGCTCATCCACATTTATAGCTTAAAGCCACGTTATTTCTAAGGCTTAAAAGCCACCGTGGAATGAATTCCATTAAAGGTTAAGGCCTTTCTGTTCTGTATTGGAATTTAAATGGAAAATAAAAAAAGCTGAAGGTTTTTAAAGGCCGCGTCTCATTCCACCAGGAATTACCAGGTCGGAACGAATTCCCATTTTTAAGCTGGCAGGACTAAACTTGAACCGAAATTGCTATTACTAGAATCCTGCCTCATTCAAAAAAAAAAAACCTGAAAATGCATACCTGCGCCCTTTCAGTTTCCCTCTGATTTTGTCATTTCTGAACGTGCGTGTCTTTGCAAGATCACGTGATCTGCAAGTTAAGCAACGAGGAAGACAGGGCTTCAAAACAACAATATTAAAAGACGAGCAATATATCTGGCTTTATAGAAATCAAATCGTTCATGTACTTAGGTTAAGGCCACCTTAGATGTGTCCTTTGCACAACGGGAGACACGTTTGTGTTCTCTCCCTTGTGACCCTCCTTTGGTGCGGTTGGGATCATTAAAATAATGTGCTTTTATTACCGAGGATCACTCCAGGGCTGGCTGCTTTTCCAGTGGGCCTCCCCTGCACATGCTTGTTTATCTCTTTGAATTTTATTTTGCTCGAGCACGCTTAAGACGACTTCCTTCGTTTCAGAAATACCCTAGCTGGATCTCCGAGGACGATTTTTACAAACCGTGCCCGGAGGAGACCCCCAAGACAAAGGACGTCCTCGGTTTCATCGACAGCCATGAGAACGGCGGGGGCTCGGTCGGCGCAGAGCCGGAATGGGCGCCCCCCAGCGTGGTTCACCGAAAAGGCACGGGTGAGCTGTGTTCGCCGAACAGTTTAAAAAAGAGTGTGGCTTTGCTTTGCTTGGAGAAACCACATTCACATCGGAGATTGGCATTCACAACTTGGGATGCTGATTTTTACCAACTGTGAGCGTGTTTGTAAGGATTCCTCTGCTCCCTCAGGTTTTAATACCCTGTGGAAGTAGTTTTCAGGGGAAACTAGAGAAAACTGTTGCTGTCATCTGGAGTTGTTGAGGATGTACAGACCAGGGAGGTCGTCCTCAGAGACTGGAGTCATTCTAATGCTTTCAGATCCCACGAGCTGCTCCAACACTAGTTTGTATACCATGCCAGAACGGTCATTTCTAAGAATGTACAGTGGTGGCAATCTATTCTGTTTTTTCTTGTGTTGCTTATGTTAATATGCTTATTGGTATCCATGTGTGTGAAGTTCCACTGCCTCATCCTGACTCAAGGGACGTTCGCAGGCTGACGTGAGGAACTAAGATTTCCTTTGCTGGCTCCGTTATGCTCCGTTCAGAGAAATTGGACCTTTTGAATGTGTTTTTTTTTTTTTTTTACCAAAACTGTGAGATCTGGTCAAGTGAGCCTGGTCAAGTTTCACCAAGCAGAGAGGGCATGTGATGTTTGCACCACTGCGCCGTCACTGAGGAGCAGCTCTGTGGTCCTGCTGGTCGTCATCTTGTTTTCACTTCCATCTGGTATTTTTGTTCTCCACGACAAGGGCGGGCAGCCTTATCGTAGACCGTTTTCCTCCTAAATACCACATTCTTTCGTCACAAGACCCAGCTTAAAACTGGCCGCTGGGGCTCAGTGTGTCCTGTACGTATTGTGGCACTGGTTGCAGTTGTGAGCCCGTGGGTGTGTGTGGGGGGGGTACGGCCCTCAGCCTCTGTCAGCCAGAGGAACAGTTTCACACAGAGCAGGGCAGGGAGCCTCCTCACCCTTCCCAGTTTTGGTTTGATATGATTTGATCTGTTTTTGCAAAGTCTTCTTATTTCTTGCTGCGGTCCACCGTGTGCTGAAACTCTCGGCTAGGGCTTGCATGCTTGTCAGCATGACTTCCCTGGGTTATCGGTTCCCCTTTATGGCTTGCGGCAGTCCTGAGTCAATGAAACAGCAAAACAGTTCACTGGTTACTGAGGCTTAATTAAGAGTAGTATATTGACACAGCCACCTGACTTTATTCTTATTTCTGTGTGTGTATATTGCTATATCTATCCTTGTAATGGACAGATAATTAAACTTCTATCACGCTTCTGTGGACTCAAAGAGCTTTACAGGTAAGCTTTACAGACTCCCCTCCCCCACCTGGATGATGCGATGGCAGCCAAAGTGTGCCAGTACACTCTCAGTGGGGAGGAGAGCAGAGCGATGAAGCCCGTTCGTAGATGGATTATTCGTAGTTAGTTGGTCGATGGGATTATTGGGAGGCCATGATATGCACTTATGGTGAAGCATATGCTGTAAGATATTACAAGATACCGTCTCCGAGACCAAACTCACTTCGTGGTGTGACAAAGTGACTGGCGATAAACCTTTCTGCTGCAAAGTAAATTTCAGGAAAGCAGACGTCAACGGAGTTAAGATAAGTGGTACTTCCTCAAGGGTGTATGTTTCTGACATTCGCCTCGGTCTCCCCCCCCCCAGGCTTGACGAACCTGTTCCGCGGGCTCCTGAAGCTGGGGAACCTGGAGAGGCGGCGAGGGCCCGTGGGGATGTGGCGGGAGTACTACTGCGAGCTGTCCCCGTACGAGTTCCGCCTCTACCCCGACGAGGAGGAGCGCTCGTGCTGCGAGAACTGCTCCCTGCTGCGCTGCGAGTCGGTCCGGGCGCCCTCCAGCGACGGGCGCTTCGAGCTGCACTTCACCGGCAAGAGGCTCTACTTGAGGGCCCCGTCCCAGGGCGAGGCGGAGGACTGGGTGGACATGGTGTGGGAGGCGGTGAACAAGTGCCGCCCAGCCCAGCCGGACGACCAGTGGGAGATCCTGCCCGATCCCGTCGGCAGGGGGGAAGTGGGGTCGGGACCTCCTTCCTCTGCCTCCTCCCCTCCGGCGGAGCAGCCCGGCCAGGGGGGAAGTCCTCCGCCCCTTTTGAGCTGGGCCCGGCACACCGAACCCGAGCAGGATGCCATTAAAGAGACCGTCCTGTACCTCCTCGCAGACAAGACCTGGGCGCCTTACGTCTTTTCGCTCTCCCTGGAGGCCCTCAAGTGCTTCCGGGTTCAAGATCAGAAGAAGATCCCGCACAGCACGCAGCAGATCGAGTCTATCCGAGACGTGGTGCCAGACACCACCCTGGGGAGCCCGGCCTTCTTCAAAGTCCTGACGACGAAGGCCACCCTCAAGCTTCGGGCCGAGAACGAGGAGGAGGCCAGGTCGTGGCGGGAGCTCATCCGCGGGGCCTTGAACTGTTACCTGGAGACCTCCGAGGTCACGGCTGCAGGGGACAGCGCGGGGAGTACCATCCATAGACTGGTCCAGCACAGCCTCAAAGGGAACGGTGTTTTACTGCCTTATCTCTGCACTGTCCCTACGGAGAAAGGACTGGACGTGCAGAACTTCAGATGTGCAGGTTAGTTGGAAACATCCTGATATTGTGTCACACGTGCTGGGGCGATCTGTAAAAGAGCTACAGTGGGGGGAGGACAGTCTTTTGACTTCTGTCTCGCTGTTCGCTAGATGAGCCATTAACCACTTGTCTATTTCCGTAGTTACTTTTTAAGCGTCCTGTAGCACCACCTAGTGGTGAACATTGTAAAGCTTTAAATTAATCATCCATTTCAGAAAAGATAACCACAAGATCATACTTCTTTGTATTGTTTTTTTTTGTGTAGCATGTTTGATTAGGGCTGCTTCTTAGGTCCATGTAAAGAATAAGTACAGTTTAGTTGGCTGTGCTGTGTTTACGCAGTATAAAGCAGTCACTTTGCTCGTAGCATTATTTGAAGTTGTAATGCATGTGCTTTAAGTTTTTGTTTTCATGCTTGTTTGTTAAGGGTGCTCCAGACAGATCGGCTTCTCCTTCGGAAGACCGAGGTTGTGTGAATACTCTGGAATGTATTACTGTGATGGATGCCACCGGGGAGATGTCTCGGTCATCCCTTCCCGAATCATTCACAACTGGGATCTGTCATTAAGAGAAGTGAGCTCGAGTTTCTTTTTCATCCTTCCTCTGTTGCTCAGAGCCGTCTTAAATATCCTTAATTATCTGAAGTTAAACCACGTTTTGTATTTGCGGTCTGTCCGCAAATGAGATTGACATGAAGTTTACTTGTCCCAAAACCTCTATTTGAACAGGTCTCCCGAAAGGCGCTGAGGTTTCTCAGTCAGATTGCCCACGAGCCCCTGATAGACGTGGAGTCGCTCAATCCCAGTCTGTATGACCACGTGGAGCAGTTGAAACAGACGCTCAGCAGCCGGCAGAAGCTGAGGCTGCTGGGAGAGTACCTGATCACGTGTCGCAGTGGAGGAATGAAGAAGATGCAAGCTCAGTAAGTGCCAGTGCTTCTCCGCAGCTTTTTAGTCAGTCTAGGCTTTGAATAAAAATGCGCGCTTTAGAAAATATTGGGTATTTCTGTATAGAAGTTCTCAGGTTGCCCCTATGTAATCGGTATAGTGACAATGATGTCTCGCATTCCTTTTTATGTCTGGCTTAGACATACGAACAAGCTCTTTTTTAATCTTTTCAGACTCAATCAAAGAAATTACATTCTGGAGTCTGCTCACCTCTACAGCGTTGCAGATTTACAACAGGTAAGGAGGACATGCCGGTAGAACTGTCTTAAACTGTCTTTTCAGACATTTACCCTTTCAAAGTGATGGAATCCTCTCCCTTCAATCCCACGCAATTTTTTGTTACCCCCAAATTTGATTTCTTTCTTACCAGTGTTTTCAGTTACATACCTCCCAGCATCAGAGAGGAGGCTGTGAAACCTTCAGTTATTGTAGTGTGGATCAGCGGTGTGTAGTGAAAAGGGATAACCAACAAGCAGTTAATCCTTATTTGGCTTGTGAACATAGTTATTTGTTTGAGGTTTCTCTTGACCTAATGTATGTCGTCATCCACAATGTAGAGATACAACAACAGGTTTTTTTAAGGGTATTCATTAGTATTGAAAATTAGAGGGAAGCCTACAGCTTATCTGCTAGTATTTGGAGACTACTGTTTTGACAAAGGAAAAATATTTAAAACCCGGTAAGCCATTCAAAAGCCATTTCAATATTGTCCAGTTCTTGCCTGTGAAAATTTGCTGCAGGAATATTGGACATGTCCTGGAAGGTAGTTGTAAAATGCAGAAGATTACAAACCTTGGATCCCTGGTATTGCGTTTTGAACTTTGCTGTGCAGGCTTGTTTCTCTCTTTTGCAGTCCTTCTCTTTGACCATGGCTTCTGTTTCCCTGCCTTGTTGTAGATGGTGGAAGGACAGTATGAAGCTTTCCTGCAGTCGATCATCCAGTTTGCTTCCAACCACGTGTACCACTGTGACCTTTGCACCCAAAGAGGCTTCATCTGCCAGATCTGCAACCACAGCGACATCATATTCCCCTTTGAGTTTGAGTCAACAACTCGGTGAGTGTCCTTGTCTTTAAATGTGGCTGGAGAGTGAAGATGGCTCAGTATGCTGAGGCTTGGTCAGAAGATTGTAATTTACAGTTGTGTGCAAAAGTGTGGTCAAATTGATTAAGTGAATCAGTAAGTGAAAAGAAGTTTGCAGAACCTCTGCGTGGCAAACATCTTTCTGCACATTTCAATGCATAACTTCCATTTATTTCCGTAAAAAAGAAAGTGAATGTGACATGTTCAAAAGTTCGGGCACCCTTCCAGTTGATTCATATAGTTTGACCAGGGGTTCTGCAAATGTGGTACAGTTGTGTGCAACAACTGTTTCCTTTCAAGATGTAGTTCTCTGGGTGGAAGTGAAACCCCCTTTTTTAGCTTGGCTTGTAAGAAGGCTGTGTATTTAAAGCTTTTCTTTACAGTATTTGAGCACAGACTAGCCTGTTTAGTGTAATCTCTTAATGGCATCTAGAACTGAGAAATGCACAGAGATTATATTACTGAAAGATAAGATCACATACGTAGTTATTCTTGCTTTAGTGCAGTCTCATTTAAAAGAAACCTTTGTATTAGACCTGTGGTCTCTCTCTCTTTTTTAAAATCAACCTACTCCTCGTGATGCGTGAGCCGCACTTTAGAAGCCAAGTGGTATGTTCTTGAAAGAGGCTAGCCGCAGCTCGCAAGAGGTTAATCTTATTGGGTTTCTCCCAACAGATGTCAAAAATGCAAGACTGTGTTTCACTCCACCTGCAAAAAACAGAACCCTGCCTGCCCTCGGTGCCAGCGTTTACAGAAATACCTGGAGAGGGAGCTGCAGGACTGAAAGGCTTCACTCCTATGGGAGAGGCCTTTGGAGGAGCAGCTTGGGACTGCGACAGTGCACATGAAGCACATGCAGTGGTGTAAGATTAACCTTTATGGTGAACAGGTTGATTTAGATCACTTCCTTACGTTCACCTGATGGCGCTCTGTTCCAGAAGAGCGCAAGGGGGGGGTCAGGTGAAGGTGATGTTTTGAAGAACCAAACAAGGTGCCAAACAAGGTGGCTTTGAAAAGCATTGATTCGGGGAATCGAGTGAAAAAGCAGCGAGAGACACAAATGCATTAATGAACTCTTCGGATCTCCGTGGCCTTGTAAATCACGCGTCGCTAAAGTGCACGGCCTATTCTCGCTGCTGCAGGTTGTTTCTGAAGCTTCAGATTGAGTGTGTGGAGGAGAGAGGTTTTTGTGAAACCCCTCCGAATTGTTAACACTAACAGGTGGAATTTGGCGGCTGTTACCTGTAGATCCGAAGAATGTTTTCTCCCTGGAAAAGCTCATAGGAAGCCATGAGCTGGAAGAGAGAAGGTCAAGTTGTTCGTCATTAATTTACCTGATCCCTTTTCCCCAAAAACGCATCATGAGCGGAGGGTGGGGGGGGTGGAGGTCTTTTTTTTTTACGGTAAAGAAATCCAGGCAGTTTGGGCTCTTTCTTTCCATTGGGATCATCAAGAATGAGGACCAGAAAAGCTCTTTCCCATCTTACATCATCTATCCGTCTGGGACCTCATCCCGGTTTGTAGATGGCATTAAGTGAGTTGATGGGTTTCCCACAGAGGTGCCAAGTGCCAACATTAATTGCCCATTCTACAGTTTTTTGTGATGTGCAATTTATTTTTTCATCAAAATTATACCTCTGTCAAACAGCACCTATGCATTTTTTCCATTTAGTAGGTTTATTTTTAAATGCCTGCTTTTTTTTCTCCCTACATGTTTACAGCATAAAGACTCTTTCTGCACTTTATAGATTTCACTTCCTTCTTTTCTTAAAGGCATGGTTAATGCTAAGACATCAGTTACTTTTGTTGCAGTATAATCCCAAATTAAATGAAATATGATCACAGTTCTGAAAATAAATGAAGTGATGCAATCACTGTTTTTGGAATAGTGATGTCAAGTCTGCTTCATATGTTTGGAGAAAGAAAATAGATTTTATTGCAATATATATAAAATACAGAGTGAAATTATTTATGCAGATGTTTCATCATACATAATTTTTCAAAAGAAAATTTAGGCACAGGTAAAGTTTACTTTGTGCTTCAGAGTAATTTACTGATATGTTTATGCTTTGGTGAAAATGTGTTTTCTTCTGAACTGGTGCTTTGGTAATGGTCTTCCATTCTCATATTGTAGCTATATTTAAAATCCTAAGGAAATGTTGTTGTTGTTATAAGCCTGTTCCAGAACTATGGAAAGAAAGGATCTAATTCCCATGCACATAGTTCATTTTATTATAAAGATTAAAATAGGGACTTAACGATCCAAGTACATTTTTGTTACCTAGCAATGGTGATAAAATTAGAATAATTATGGGATTTTCCTAGGTTTACATTTGTGGTTATATATGAAGGGAATATACTTCGATAATGTTCAATGATTTATGTGGTAAGAACTTTAAATCAGCATGTCAAAAAACTCCTAAGCTATTCATGTTCTTAAATTAAATTACTATCAATAAATTGTGCCTTCATCTTTTACTTCTGTTTAAATTATGGTGCTTTTTCTACACTATATTGATTGGGTGGATGTTAAGTTTAATTCAGAATAGGGTTTTGAATTTTCATCTGTCTAATGTGCCAAAAAACTAAATGGGAATTGTATCTATAATTTGGGGGCCTTTGGGTCAATCGTTCATCTTTTGTAAATATATTGGGTGTTAAATGTTAAACAAGCTCTTGTAATGCAGCGAAAGCAAGCAGTTCCTGCATCTGGTCGTTTTTCAGCCGTGTTGCTGCTAAAAGGAGTTGTTCATACTGAAAATATAGACATTGCAGTAATTTCCGGGTTTGCAATATTGGTATTTCTTACAGCAGGAGAAATGCAATGTGAAGGGATATCGATGCAGATAATACTGCCACCACCATGCAAGACATGAAGTCTCCTCTAGGTGATATAGATGGGCCATAAGTCAAGATTTTATTACTTTGCATGACTTTGAAAGATTGTAAATACTGTACTGAGTGTTTTTTTGTATTATAAACTAGCCACCGCTGTGTCCTTGAGAGGTGTTGACATGCTCTAAGGCCTGAGCTGACCATTTGCTGTTAACCTTCATCCTCACATGGAGGGTGGGCAGCCCTGGGAGACCCGCCAGCTGTACTAACCATGACAGCTATTTCCCGTCGCAGTATCTGTAAGACAAATATTGGAAACATGGTGTGGGGTTACATCAAAGTTAAGGCCTCCTAATGACCAGGGTGTTAAGTCATGTAATTGGGTATTACTTGAAGTATAAGAGGATTGGCTCTATTTTACTATTTTTTATAACAGCTAAGAAAAACGTGATATGTTTTTAACTATTGCCCGCCCGCCCCCCTCAACTTGTGCCAGTTGTTGTACTGGTCTTGTGAAAATGAAGGTTCAATTGCCAGCGACAAAAGCTGAACAATTATTACAGATTACAGGCCAGACCAGGCACATTAGTGCAAGCAGATCGTTGTGAGTGTAGCGTATAGAGTTAATTCATCAGTGATGGCCAGCCTGTAAAAAGAAAACTGTAAGGGCATATAACTCGGTGTCCAAGAGCACCTGAGGAACTCCAGTCTGAAGAACAGTACGGACTGGAGTTTGAGACCCTCTGTTCTGCTGTCCCAAGTAAGAATGGTATCGCAAAATCCAGCCCCTCGTAAATACTGTTAAAGGTCTCTGGCGTGGGGAGAGCAGATTGTGATGGTCTAGGATTGTATTTGGATTGGACTGGGACTCTAGACAAAGGTCTTCTTTTCATTTCTGTCCAGCATGGGGCTCAATTGGCTAACTGACATCATCTGTTGGTGTCCCAAGTTACTACCACTCAATAGGAACTTTCTGAGGTCACGGTGTGTAACATTAAGTGCCAGGCCAAGGCCACTGAAAGATTTTGGTTCCTCTGAGTCCTTATGCAGAATATGAATCTGATCTGCATTGCACAGCAGTGCGATCATCTAACAGCCCTTTCCAGGTGCTCTCTCCCTCTGAAGCCGAGCGCTCTAAATACAATAAATCATCTACTGTGTGAAGTGAGAAAATTTTTTTTAAGGAAGGATTTCAAAGATTCATTGCCTTAATTTATTTTTGCCTGTCTAACATGAATTCGGGGTTCTCGTTTCGAGGCACTTTATCGGTTGCTGAAGTTTAAGATGGAAAAATTGAGACGTAGATGTGCAATGTAAGATTATCTCTCGGTGTGTAACCTGTATTCAAACGTGCCCTTTATGGTTTGTTCAAGAAGCACATTTCTAACTATTAAGTCGTTTTCTAACTTAATGCAGTGTATATTTCCAGTCCACATCCACATACAGAGTGCTCTTTTTGGTTTTATTTTCCTGGGAAACTGCACTTTTAGCACAGCAGATGGCAGCATTCTGTCTGTAATATTAGTCCAGCATTCCTCCAGTCTATGCACACAATACAGGGCTGTTTCTCAGACCAACCCCTGCTCTTTGAGGTGTCAAGTCCTAATCCTTACAGTATCGGTTGTTCTAATTTACCTGTATGCATTCCGGTCAAGGACTGCATGAGACAGTGATGCTGTTAATGGACGCCTTTTTGTTTCAAAGGGACCAACTATAAATAAAGTAATTGACTCAAGGACTGCTTTAGGGAATTGTACTGACCAATCAGTCTTTCTTTGGGAATAGTTACCTGAAGAGTAAAAAAAGCAAAACATTATTCATTGGCTCTAATCAAATACAAGTAACTTTCTTTCATGAAAAATGAAGTCAGTCCAAAACTGGAATAACTGACCAATGCAAAGGAAAATCATCACAGAAGCTATCTGAGGCTAGGCCTGGTTAGTACTGCGATGGAAATCTCAAAGGAAAACAGGTTGGTGATGGTTCACCTGTAGGTGATGATCTTTCCAATTTCTAAACCCTTCCCTGTGATTGTGACAGGGTGCACTGTACTCATCCTTTGAATGAGACTTTAAGGGTTAAGTTCAGTGCCCTGAGTGAAACGGTTTGGGATTCTTTGGGATAGAAAGCACTATACAGATGCAAGCAATTTAAATAATTATAAACCCTTTACATTTTTAATTTCACTGTTTAAAATACAATTGTTTCATGCACTCCTAACATATAATTTGTCTTACTGTAGAATAAGCCTGCCTGGATCAGCATGACTCATGATTTCAGTTAATGAACTAATCTCTCCTTTACATTTGAATAATTTTCAAACCTGATTAAATGCATTTTGCAGGGGGCTTCTGATCAAGTCTGTTCCATCTCACTGGAATATGTAGCACAGAGGGAAGTACATTAATGGTTTGAGAAACGGCCCTCACCCGTAATGAGCTACTCTGCACCGTTCTGTGAATGTCATCTGCCTTTTTTATTATAGTTCAAATTTTGTAAAGAGATTCAAAATATAAATAAACTTTAAAATGTTTATCTCGTGTGTGCAATTATTTTACCTGACAAATTATATTTTTATGCGTATTACCAACAATGGATACTCTACTGCATTTTTTTAACAGGTATGTTTATCTGCCTCAAGGAGCACGATTAAGCTGTACAGTGATGTGATGAGCAAAATAGGGCATTTTAAAGTTTTCACAGTATTTTTCAGGCATTATTAGAAATTACAATATAGTTTTTCAGTTTTAGGGTGCACAACTTGTACTTAGTGGGAGAAATAACTTTTGAAAAGGAGTAACGTTTCAGATACTGTTTTTACGCAGAAGTCTTTCACATGGAACCTGTTAAGTATTTTGCTTTTCAACTGGTGCTTTTGTAAAATGTAGTGCCAGACACGACAGGCTAAGTTGTCTTCTAGTGTGGTCTTTCTGTTCCAGTTTTGTTGTGTCCTTTTGCCTATGTGGGACAGACTGTTAGACGTCCAGACACTGCATGGATTTTCATGTTTGTCTTTATGGAAAATGCCTATCATCCCTCTCCTCTTAAGAAATGTATCAGCTGTCTTGCGTTCAGCTCTTTTTCCACTGTCAAGGGTCTGTTTTTTTTTTTTGCATTTTCACTTTGACAAGGGCAATGTTCGGTGCGCCCACGCCGATGTTGAAAATGCCCCAGTGCCTTCTAGTGCACATGTGAAATGAGATTGCGGTGTTAAACCTCTGTATATTTATTAAAATGGAAAAGTAACTTGGAAACAAGCACAAAAGATGTTTGTAAACCGGGTCAAAGCCCCAGGTACACAGTTCCTGATTGGAGAGGACAGTCAGACGGAGAGCTTTGTTATGATGATCGTGTGTCGCTGTGCCTCATTTGTGGTCAGGGTGCACCAAAACATCAAGCAGCGCTGCACACTTCCTGCAGTTGCACAAGATGTCTTTTAATTTTAGCTGTCTAGTTCTAGGATACAGGGTAACTTTTTTTTTTCTGTTCTCTGCTAATCAGAAACCGTATATTTAGGAGGAAAACTTGAAAAATGAGGAACAAAAAGCTCGGAGACATGTAAAACTGAAATCTGTTGTGCTGTGTGGAAAAACAGAAGTTGAGGCCTTTTTTTTCTTGTCTTATGATTTGTAATTTTACAGCCTGTACCCAGCCTTTGGTCTACATAATGTGGAGTAAGCACAATTTTCATTAGTGTTGGGAAAAGCCCATTCTAAAATCCTTGCTCTCTTAACTCTGCCATAATGTTCCAAAACAGCTTTGTACTCCTTGGTTGCACCCTAATGGCCTACTGTGCCATCAAGCAGGAAATGAGATAACTACAGTGCAGGAAAGCAGAGCAGCTGGCCTGTTTTTTAGGAGGAAAATGAATTTCCTCCAAATAAGTGCGGCCTTGGCTTTTGTGGACTGTCACTGTTTCCGAAGTGGAGCCAGGATTTCCCTCAGGTTCATTGCAGAACAGATGAACCAGAATAACTCACTGACATGATTGCAGAGCAGTTGTACAGTTTATTGATTACAGACCTAGGCTGTAGCATGTTCTAGCATCAGCAAAGTGATGTCTTTCTGGGTTGTAGGGTGTAAATCTCTGATCTGTCCAAAACACTAGCAGTGTAGCACAGCAGGGTGGGGCCAGTCACAGCTCAGTGGTCTGACTATTGCATAAACTAGGTGGCAGTGTGGAGCAGGAGTTCAGAGGGTAAGAGTTGTTGTGTGTTGTGTTGTGTCCCTGAGCTGAAGTTACTTCCCTTTCTCTTCAGCCACCCTGGTTGTGTAAAGGAGGCCTTTTCTGTGATTAGACTAGCTCAGTAATCTGAGGTTTGTACTCTCCCGGCTTAACAATATTGAAACTGGAGGTGACTTCTTGATGATCAAAAAAAGCTCCCAGACCCCAAAACGTCTTAACACCGCCAAAAGAATCCATTCAGCTTCCCTTTTCAGTTCCTTGCCTGCAGCAAAGCATATCCTAATTTACTGCCCTATTTGCTCAGTGTCCTCTGCGTCACATTATGGAGTTGTTTGGTCCCCAAAAAACAAAACAGCATGGGTTATATACTGTAGTTATTTAGGCATGACAGATATTTGTTCGGCTGCTTTTGGCAATGACACCTCTTCAAAGGTCGTTGAAAATTCACTCCTCCTACCTAGTGGTTGCTCAGATGAAGGAAATATTTTAAGACGCAAGAAGGCAATAGCTAGGTCTACAACTCTATGTACCCTAATCAACTTGTGCAAATAGACACATTAAAGCTCAGTATAACTTCATTTTTTACCTACTGTGAATTTAATATTCACGTACCTGCCTCAGTGCTCAGTTTGCTGTTGACGTGGTGAAATGGTAGACAGAACCTGGATTAATCAATAAACAACGGGTAATTAGCGAAAGCTGCCAAAGTTAATCACCACACAAACTAAACCTGCAAACCGTGCCTGCAAGAGCTCCATTCCTGCTCTCCTCTGTCTTGTGAAGCTGGTGTGTTCTGAGGTTTCGGAGAGAGATCTGAGTTTGGCAAGTCAGGATCTGCTCTGGCAATCGCCTAAACATACCTAACATGCCATTGTTGAACACACTTTGTTGCCTGTTTATACATCTATGCCTGTTGGAGGTGTTTACATTAAGATGGGGAACACGCTAAGTGCACCTTATTATTTCTTGTGCCTAATGCCACATAAGGCAGACTGCCTTCCTGCCATGCAGTTCTGTCCTGAGTCATGTGAGGCGCCTCATTGTTAGTTAGCTACCTGTTGCTTGCTGGGATAGGCCCCAGCTCCCCTGCAGCCCCGTACTGGAGAAAGTCATTAGAAAATGGATGAATGGATTATAGCGCGTTTACCTTGTTTTTGCCTCTTCAGATGACATTAAATCCACAAATTGATACAAGGAAACTTTTGGTAGGTTTTCAGCTGAGTGAGGTGAACCCTTAATTTTAGGAAAAAAACAACTTGCTTTCATTGTATTTTCTTTGAGTGTTTTAGCTCAGCAGACGGGTTATGATTTCAAGCTTACTTTCACTTATCTGTCACTTATTCAGGAGATGAAAAAGCTGACACCTGAACGCAGGCCCAGTGCAACAGGTTCCCGGATCAGAAAAGGGCAGAGCCCAGCACTGCAGTATTCCTTTGGAATGAAATCCTAAGGAGGGGATGTTCTTGATGAACAGGTTTTAAGAGGACCGGTTTTCCACCTTGTGGACAGTAGGACAATTACAGCTGCTTGTCCCGCCCAGATCTTCAGGATCGGTCAATACATGAGTCATTTTCTCATGATGTGTCAGCCTTCAGAAAACAAAAACAAAGTTCTCAAAAGGGATATGACCTTTATATAATAATGCCTGCATTTTGTAATACACAGATACCAGTATTTAACCAGCTAATCTGACTGGGGTGAACATGTAAAAAAGATGTAAAAGAGAGCTCTAACAGAGACATAGGACAATTAAGTGTGATTGAAGCATGAAGTGCACAGGAAACAGAGATTCCTACGAAGTCCAGTGGAGATCAGAAAATACTTCCTTTGCTCTCTAGAACAAGTCCAGAGTTGAGATTATATGAAAAAGAGCCAATGAGGTCTTAAAATAGATGTCGCTGACATTTAAAGATAACTCAAATTAATTCCAACGCATTTTCCAATGTCACCCTGGTTGGTTTTTTTAATAATTCAAATTTATTTGGATACATCTCAAAAAGCAGGTTCATTTTTAAATATTTCATATTCATTTAGAATCTACTTGGGAATTACTTCCTGTGAGTTTTGAAGCATGTCATCTTAGGCATCAGTAGGGTATATAGGCTAAGCCCTGGTGTCCTGGCTAAATTCCTCTCTTGGCTCCCACAGATCTGGCCTGCCTTCATTTTTGCTTTACTTTAATTGCTGAAGCAGTTTCTAATTCCTGCCGTTAACCTCCTGTGCCAAATGCCAGCTGTGTGCCCCCCCCAGCAGGGATCTTCTCTTCGGTGGAGGATGAAGTGGGTTCTCTCCTGTGTGTGAAGCCCTTTGGAATCCTTAGGGATGAAAAGCACTGTACCAACACAAATAAGATAAGACCACTTTATTGGCCAGATACAATTTCTTGTGTTAGGAATTTGTGTTTTTAACATACCCCACCTTGCTCTCCATGAGACACACAGACAGGGAGAGAAGCTGGGGGTCAGAGCGCAGGGTCAGACATTTATATGGCGCCCCTGGAGCAGTTGGGGTTAAGGGCCTTGCTCAGGGGCTCAACACAGTAGGATTCCTCTGCCGGCCACGGGATTCGAACTGGCAACCTTCCAGCCACAGGTGCAGATCCTGAGCCACCACACCACCATAGTAGCCTTCTTTCCTTTTTCATGGGCGTCCTGCCACAACAATTCCCCATGGGGCAGTAACACTGAAGGGCTCCTGCCGAAGGATTCCCCTGGTTCCCTTCCTGCCCCAGTGCAGAGCCGCCGTTATCTGGCCAGGCAAGAGGAAACGGAGGAAGCGCAGTGGAGCTGCATTGTGAAGCTGGGAGAAGTCACAGGGGTGTGAATCAGACACAAATCACTCACAGGGGTTATAATTAGAACTGGGCTTGTAACCCTGGAAACTGGTAATATTTTGGTCAGCAAATGGATGCCAAATGGTTTTTTTCTTAAAATATCCGCCTGGCAGCGCATGGGTAAGCCGCCTACAAGGCTGTGATGACTGTGTGCAGTTTGCACGGGGCTCTTTCTTCTACGTGCCTGTTGGCGTTTCTCCTGTACTTCACGAAACGGCTCACGCCCTTCCCAATGACGCCCAGAGGAGGGCTGAAGCTCCGATTGATAATCTTGTCTGCCCGGCGGTACCTGGACTGCCCCAGAAGAAGCTAGCCGAAAATAAACCTTTTCCCTTCGGTCTTCTTTGCAGTCTTCTTCAAATGTTTCTGTGTACTTTGAAGGTAGGAGGATCCAGGCGCTTTGTTTTCTAACAAGGCTTGGGTTGTACGCTCTGTTACTGACAACCTAGAGCTCATTCATCTGTCAATACTTCAGTCAGGGGGCTGGGATGAGATATTCAAAATCCCTTTGGCAGGTTTTGCATGGTATTATTCCAGAGAATACATGATGATCTCAATTTGGTCTCCTTGGTGAGCACAGTGCTTCACAAGAAAACCAAAATTGCAATTGATGCCTTTTCAGCGTTCCAAACTCCAAGCATGTATGCTTGTGGCATCAGAGAGCTTTATCCACATTATTTCAGGTCTTGCAACACACCAGTTCTAGCAATGCCCTTTGTACCTTGCCTGTCATCTTGTGCACAGAGAGGCAAGCCTCTCACTTCTGTGAACTTGTTCTCTGTATTGTAGAACAGGAAATGAGAGAGAGAGACAGAGGCAGGCAAGTTAAGACCGGTGAGAGTCCCACACGAGACTCACACAACACACACCAGCTACTCCCAGATCCTGCCGTGAAAGCGTTTGACGTTTTTAGACGGAAAAAAAAATCTCTTGAGGAATTGAGGAGGACAAGCTCTGGAAGAAAGGACCCTAACAGGAAAGAAAACAGACACCAACAACTTATTGCTAAAAGCTGGGAATTGTTTTAGCAGACAAAGCGACTGGAACAGAAGCTAGGATGAGCCAGCTGCCATCTCAGATAAGGTAATTAGTATCATGCTTCACATTCTTCGTGGTTACTTTTCATGTAGGTGTATTCTTCAAAAAACTGCACTGCAGAATGTTTTTATAAGTGCTTTGAAGGCTAAAGGCAGTTTTAATTCTGAGACAGAAAATATATTTTCCAAATATGTCTTTGTAAAAACGGTGAGGCTATATTCTATTTTTTAACCTACATTGACAGTATCTTTAATTTCGGCTCAATTTACTTTGCTTGTGTCTAATTTTTCCCTGAACACAGTGTTTCGGAAGGTGTGTTTTTAAGATATTTTACTCGACCCGTCGTATGGACAGCATCAAAATGCCACATTTGTGAGATCTCTAGATAAAACAGAATGTTGTCTTTGTGTCTTAAATTATCAAAGAAATGCAGCATATTAGCAAGGCACTGGGAAAATGGAATACAATCAAATATTCCTTCCTGGGTGTGTAACCTTAGATATAATTGGATGTCAGTAGCCCGGAGTTCTGTGGTGTTTAGACATCTGAACTTTATGCACACTAATGTGTGAATGACCAGTGTAATGGGTTTCACACATTGCCCAGAACTTCAGTCACCTGTACTGTGGTGTTCTTTTCGTCTTGTAATTAAACCAAAACAATCTTTTTATAAATAGCATACTTGCTTTTGCAGTGCAGAAAAAAAGAGCTTTTGAGTTTTAGGGAGTGGATTCTGCCTGTGGCCTGATAATACCCAATATGTACATTCCAACAAGCTTCTGGTATGCTTTAAAAAAAAAGTTTGAAAGTAGCATTCTTTCATCTGCTGGATTTGTGCAGCTCGTCAAGAGGGAGGAAAAAAAAACACAATGTGTGTTTGCCAGGCTTTGTTTCCTGTATGTATGCTTACTTTTTTATTTTCAATAATACGAATGAAAGAGCAAAGTTCCTTTTTATGAACGGTTTCTATTTCCCCCGGGACTCAGATCTGCATTCAGTCTCCAGAGCTCGAGTTGACCATATCTGGTAACTTTTCTGAATCCCAATCCATTGCAATTCAAGCTTTTCTTTCTTCCTAGGGGAAGTGGGGGGTGGGGGGGAACAGTTTTTCTTTTTTGAATGATCAAACCCCATGTATAAAACGGCTTCTGAAGCTATAAGCAGCCTGGATGTGACCAAACAGTAATACAGCCAGTGTATTGGTTCAGAACTGTGCAATCTGTAGTTAACAGCACAGCCCCTTTCTTTTAATGGATATCCTGACAGGATGGCAGATATTTAGTTTAAAAGGATCCAGAGGAAAAAGGTTTTTCCGTATTTATGCAACCCATGAATAGGATCAACCTCCCTCAATTGTTCTTTAACTTAGTTTTAAAGGAGGGTTTGTGGGAGGGTTTCTCAAAGGAGACTCCTTTTCTGGCGGTTTTTGAGGGTTTCTCAAAGGAGCCTCTCTTTTCTGGCGTCTTCTTGCACAGACAGGTCTCGAGTCAATTTAGAATTTTGATAATGCCTCAAGACAAGGTAGATCTGGTGTTATTTTAGCATGAAACCTCTTCTCTTACTATTGCAGTATGAAACGCCTGAGAATGAATCCAAATAAATTAGGGAAGAAGGTTTGTTTACTAGGATTGGTCTTATCAGGGTGTTTCCCAGACTGGCAATAAAGCAATCAAAAAACGAGATACATTAAGCTGTAAAACAAAAATGGAATAATAGTTCTCAGGTTTTCAAGGAAGGAATTAATATCAAATCAGAGATTCTAAATTTAGGCCCATCTTTCTGTTCCAAAACATGGGACAGTGAGCATACCAAAGTGCTTAGAACTCCATCAAACCCAAAGCAGGCTAGTATCCTCTGATATATCTATGTGTTGCTGTGATCAGAGACTCTTGAGTGGCCAGATCGCTAGTCAAGCCATTCAGTTCCAGTGCTTCTGCAGACTGAGCTGGTACAAATTCAGTCCTGTCAGATCAGCCACCCATCAATTTTATAACCACTTCATTCAATTCAGCACCACAGGGTCACTGGAGCCTATCCTGCCAAGCAACAGGTACAAGGCAGGATACACCCTGGAAGGGACACCAGTCCATCTCACACAGACGCACACGCACTCACACCAGGGCCGGATTTTCCAGAAGCTAGTTGACCTATCTGCATGTCTTTGGACCGTGGGAGGAAACCCACACAAACATAGGGACAACATACAGACTCCACACAGACAGTACTCCAAGTCCAGAAATGAACCCAGGGCCCCAGCACTGAGGAGCAACAATGATAACCACTTAGTCAGCATGCTACCCTTTGGGGTTTTAACCTGTGCTCCTGGAAGCACTTGGCTTGCAAGACAATGGTTTAGCCCACAGAGCAATTGTGGCTCTTCAGTCAGATCAATAAATGTGAATCCTCCGATGTCTGGCCAAAGTCTTTACTTCCCTTGGCAGCACCAGAAAAGTAATACCTGAGAAGGTACCTGAAAATACTTTTCTGCTGCAGAGGTAAATTATCATAAAACACTGCATATTCATAAACTTCAACGCCACAGAACTGCTCTCCACACTAGTGTAGATCCACAACTGCCAGATTAAAGAATGTTTGTAAGGTCTCAGTTTTTCAGATCTCATAGAGAAGAAGGTGGTGTTCACGTTGAAGAGTGGCTTGTTCACGAAGAGGCGAGTTTGCCTTTTAAAAAGTACTGTGAGGCTACTGATTTACAAGCCCTGATTGACAGCTTTCATTCTTCCTTAGGATGCTTGTTTATTCCCTTCTTTATTTTTACATCTTCAGTCCTCCAGAGCTACACCAAATGCAAATGCATCGGCCGGTAATTTCTGGTTATACTAGAACTACCAGTACTAGTGCATTTGATTGGTGTGCCCTCCTGACTGCATTTCTGAATTGCCCAACTTAAATGTCACACAACAGTCACTCTAATTCCCAGTGCTTCTAAGTTAGAGGAACATTTTTGTTTCTACACAGAAAACTGTTCAGTTTTTGTTTTTGTCACACACACCCAGAATCACGCTTTCCCAGCTTTTCCAGGAATGGAAAATGCTGCAGTGCAAGAAGAGACAGAGACACTTTTCCCTGGTATCCATCACTCACGGGTTCTGATCTCATGATTTACCAGAGACGTCTCAAGAACCTGGCACCTTTGTCATCTTTTAGCAGCACAAGTGCAGAAAAAAAGTTCTATGATATTCTATGAAATTTAAAATGTTTAAATTGAAATGAAATTGATCAATGTTGAATTTTCTTTCACCATAGCTGGATCTTCACTGGAAAAAGACACCAGATTCCATAATGCTATATTTTATAAACGTTTTATTGTCAGCCTTCACATCTCACTTCTGACTCTGGGCAGCTAAGGAACTTCTGATTTTTATTGCATCTCAGTAACTAATCTTAATTGTAATTGTTCCCAAATCTTTCATCACAGAAGAGTTTGTTAATATTAAAAATGCTGGAGCTTTCCAGAACATGAGTGAGACTAACTGCTGTGTACTATACTGCAACAGATAATCACCTCTTCTGAAAGGCTTAACTCCGACATGTGAAGTCTGGACAGCTCAAAAAAGAGAGATTCAGGCCACTACCTATAACTACGGGCAATACTTACTGACTTCGTTCACTTGAGTGACCTAATTTAGGTTTTAGACCTGATCTTTTACCCCTCACCCCCCACCAAAGAAAAAAAAATGTTAGCTTTGTTGGGTCACCCACACGGTGGCTTTGCAGAGACAATGTCTTGAAGTCAGCGTGGAATATTGTTGTGTTCGGTCTGTGCAATTACAGTCAAAGGTCTCCAGAGTATAAGCAGACCCACAGCGCCATATATGGCAAATTCAGGGTGTTTGAAGATGATGTAGGTGAGGTTTTGGGGAAGAGAGACTTCCTGTTCTATGTGTATCTGTAATGCAATTTTCTGAGTTTTGGGTTTTGGTTTAGGTGCGAGATTGCAGAGGTCTGATAATTTCCTGCAGAGCTCAATCAGTTGTGTACAAAGCAGAGACCAGCAGAAAGCAGCACCCATACAGCCACAACAGGTACTGTGTGACCAACTTAGAACAAGAGGCTGTGAAAAGAATAAGATAATTCATTGGATGTATTGCTGTCTTTCTCTGCCACTGACGTTCTTACACAAAAAAATGCATTGCGCTTATTCTTTATCGAATGCCAAATAAGCATCTGTATTCTCCTGTTAAGGCTTGCAGACGTTGCCTGGATTCATTTTTGTTTCTCCTCATTCTTTCACCATTTCATTTCAAGGCAGTGGAGAGCTTCTGTTTTCCAATTGGCTCAGTGTGGTAGCTGCTGCACGACATGTAATGATAAAAATTACCTGACATCACCTAGATATCCAGAGATTTCAGAACAGAGAGAAAACACCCTTCTTCAGCCCGGAGAAAGACTGTTCTCTACGACTGACGTGGAGAGCAAATCTGCATTTATCCTTTGTGGTAGGCTTGATTGGAGTTTCTGATGTGGTGTCAGCCACCATTTAAAGCATAGTGCATTAAATCATAGCCTTTTCAATATAGCTATGTGGGCAGTGTGTGCACAGCTTCTTAGCATAATATTGTGGATTCATTCTTTGCTATTTGGCAAATTACCACTCTGTGCAAGGTCAGATACGCAGCAGTGGAGACATCTGCTGGAAGTCAGTGGTGAGCAGAACAAGGTACCATATACAGTACTGTTCGGCTTAGATCAGTGCACGCTGTATTTCCAGTTCCTGGTGTTCTGTTGTTGACGGTTTAGTTGTGTTTCCAACATATCTAGAACAGTAAGGCTAGACTGCAGAAAGATGAGGAGAAACTAGGGTTACAGCCCAGAAAACTGCTGTAATTCTCCAGTTTTATTTCTTGTTTAATAGCCTTGGTGAAGATCATAAATTACAAAATAAACTAAATTATTCAAATACAAATGATAGTTATTCTTATTATTAGCCTTCCTGCTTTGTAGGGCTGGGGCCCCGGGTTCAATTCTGCACCTGTGGCGCTATCTGCGTGGAGTTTGCATGTTCTCCCTGCGTTTGGTGTGTTGCCCCCGGAAGGTTAATTGACTTCCGGGAAAACTGGCCCTGGTGTGAATGTGTTTGTGTGTGACTGGCGTCCCGTCCAGGGTGCGTCCCATCTGTTGCTCGCCGGGATAGGCTCCGGCTGCCCTGCGATCCTGAATTGGATAGAAAACGAGTGGATAGTGATAATAACAATGTCGTTTGTTTTCGGGTTTTTTTTTTTTAGCTCGTGGCGGAGCCCCCAGCTACCCTGATCTTCTCCGGGGACGCTTGCTGCTGGCCAGCGCGATGTCCGGCTCGGCGAAGCAGGAGCTGGTGCTGGTGGAGTTCGAGTACCAGTACACCGGCCGGGATGGGGGTCTCGTGTCCATCAAGCCCAACGAGAGGTACGTCCTGCTGGCGAAGACCAACGACCACTGGTGGCACGTCCGCAAGGACGAGCACACCAAGCCCTTTTACATCCCGGCCAAGTACGTGAAGGAGCTCCCCTCGGCTTGGCCGTCCCCCCTGGACTTCATCGAGCCCAACGGGCCGCCGCCCGCAGAGCCGCCCGGCGAGAGGATGCCCCCGGATCTCTTCGGCGAGAAGCCGGGCGAAGTGACGATCCACCTGCGCTCTCCGGGCACCTCCAGGAAAACGGAAAACCGCATGTCGACGTTTGGCATCCCTCAAGACCTCCACGACCTGCCTTACAAGCGCTCAGGGTTCGCGGAGTCGGTGATCACGCTGAAGCCGCTGTCCGGCGACGGGAGCTTGCTTGTGCCGTGCCTCAGAGATCCGCCGAGCCTCGACGGCGGTACGAAGAGGCACAGCCTGGGACCCTCTGCGCTGATAGGGACCACGGAGGACCCGCAAAAGCTTCACGCTAAGCCCCGGGTCCCGAGCTTCAGCCCGGCGGATCCAGTCCCTTCCAAACCGGCACAACCCGAGTCGGACTCCCCGGAAGGGAAAGACCTCGGTCGGGCCACCGGCACGCACAAGGAACCCGAACCCTCTGCCCTGCACAGCCCAGAGGCCTGCTCTGACAAATCACAGGATTCAGATAACATTTACGAGTCCATCCCGGACTTCACGAACCCCCAGGAATCAACCCCGCAGGAAATACCACCCCCTCTGCCGCCAAAGGTAAGCCGAACACCCGTCTAAATCACACGGACCAGGCTGTGAGACCAGCCTCTGACCCGCTGGAAACGCACCTTTGCACTGAGACCACTGTGAGAGTCCTGGCTCTCGTAGGAGGAATTGGGATTCATCTGTAGCGTTTTAACAGCAAAGCAAGCTTTAGTTTCACCTCAGATTTTACTATAAGACAATAGCAACAATATAATAATAAACTTGATTTTATACAGCGCCTTTAAAGGTGGCTTCTCAAAGCGTTGTGCAGAATGACAACAATAAGACATACTCCAGATATGCACAATGAAAATACACAATGAGAGGAGACAGTAGATGGAGGTACTGAATACAGCAGGAGCAAAAGGGTAAATAACAGAACCAGTTCAGTAAAGGCTCTTTGAAAGAAGAAGGTTCTGTCTGGCTTTGTAGGCGTTTAGGGAAGGTGACTCTCCGATATCCTTAGGGATAACGTTCCAGAGCTTTGGGGCATAACAGGAGAAGGCTCTGTCAACCATAGAGTTTAGATGGGCTTGGGGGACAGATGGGAGACCAGAATTAGAAGAGTGAAGGTTGTGAGGTGGGGAGTAGGATGATAGTAACTCAGACAGGTACTGAGGTGCCAAGCCATGCAGAGCCTTATAGGCGAGTAGGAGGATATTGAACTAGAAGCCAGTGCAAGGACTCCAGGATAGGAGTAATGTGATGACGTGCACTAGACCTGGTTGGGATGTTGGCTGCAGAATTTCGGACAGACTGGAGTTTGTTCAGTGTGGATTTAGAAACCCCAGCGAGTAGAGCGTTATAGTAGTCAATTCGGGAGAAGACCAGTGTGTTGATCAGCTTTTCAGCAACAGTCAGCGATAACATAGGTTAGTCTGACGATATTTCTGAGGTAAAAGAACGATGTTTTGACAATATGTTGCACATTTGGGGCGAATGTCAAGCCTGAAGAGAAAAATTAAAGCAGTCTGCGTGATAAATGAAGTCTGTTAAGACTTCTGATGTGCGTTACAGCTTTCTGGAGCTGTGGTTTATTCAGGGCTGGACGATTGAGCTGTAACGTGCCTTACAAATTCGGGCACATATGATACTAAAATGCAGGTAGCAAAGTCTTCGGGCTGAAGGCAGAAGCCAAACGAGTTAACTGCGCAGTTTGATTTCCTCATCTGCGCGTCGGTAGCGAATTTGTACGTGTCCTCTCCCAAGAAAAAGTAACAATTCAAGCTGTTTGTGCGCTGCAGGTTTGGTGCAGTTAGTCGCAAAAGCGTGCAGTTGTGTTGATGTTTCTGTCTTGATGTACTGCCGTTTCCTGTTCAAATATTTATTTTAGAGACTCATCTCTGCAGGGGCCATATGCGTCTGTGTGCCGCAGGGTGGCGGTAGTTGATTACATGGAAGCATTGAGTCACAACGAAACTGCCCGGTGAGCAAACTGAGGAAACATCACACGGGTCTGTTGGTGTCGTTTTTTACTGAATTTGTTTATGTGCTTGGAATATCACATGAGCGCGAACACTCTAGTTGTATTTTGTCCCTTTTAAATATGGTTGGTGGTAAACTTTAGACAAAACGGGGTAAAATGTGTGAAATAGGAAATTGTGAGTTGTTACTGGGTGTACAGACGCTGGTAAGGCCGAATGACCGTAATCATTAATCACGCTTGAAAGTGGACACGGACTCAACCCTAGAAGATCAACCTGGTGTTGTGATTTGTGAAATTTGGTAATAAGGGTTATGCGTCGCTGGTGTTCGTAACGTATAGCGAATTCAGACTGCATGCTATATTATCTGAAGTCAGGAAAACATGGAGTGTTGCTTGAATTCTGTTATTCAGTACCTGCCATTTGGATTTAAAGCAGGGTACTAACTGGGGTTGACCCGAGATAGTACTGGACTACCTAGCAAACAACGTATGACGCATCTCCCAGTTAAACACATCAATTTATTAGCTTAAAAAATAGCTCTTTTTTTTTTTTTAGCTAGCTCAGGTGCAACTTAAGAGCTGCGCACTGCACCTGTTCGTACGAAATTGGTCGCAATTAACCGTGGGAGTCCGTGATCGTGACGTCACGCAACGCTCAAAGGTCTCTGTCGCTGCTTGCGGCTGCAGGTGTCTCACCCGGTGACTCTGTTACCTAAATGGGAAAGGGGGACAAAAGGAAGCTGGCAACGGGGCGTCTGTTTAGGCTACAGAATCCATTGGTTTCCAAAACACCCTGACTCACGCTCACTTGTAGCAACGTAGTATTACTCAGAAACCCTGCAACACGTGGATTCGTGATTCAGAACCCGCGGGTTTCAAAGAAGTTAACACTCTAGTGCATGTGTCTCGCTGCTGTTGTGTGACCATTACTGATGTAATTATCAGAGGACAAGCGGTTAAAAGGCTGATTTGCGCAATACTGATTAAATACTAGAACAAAGATGTTAGTAAAAAAAAATCAACAGCTCGCACTAACTAAAATGGTAGCACGCCGGCCCGTTGTAGTTTTTGTTCCCACCCAGTTGGAAATAGTAAGCTAATATTTGAAGAGAGAGGGTTCAGGTTATTATAAGGGGAAAAAAAACACACAGCGCAACGTAATTAAGTCATGAAAATGCAAACCAACAAAATAAACATTTGCATTGTGCAAGAGGCAGCAGGACGGCAGTGTTCTCTCTCTGGGATCCTCCCCTCTTTGTGAGGGCAGTCGCCTAGTTCCTGATGATACAAACCTGTCGAATGACTTTACAGAAAGTTAGCAAACCGCCTTTCTCTCTCTGACCTAATGAGTGTGGTTTGTAGGTCTGGGCCGGAGGAGGGACACGCTCTTCAGAATCGGCTGCACCGCTGCGGTCATCATGAAGCTGCCTATTAACAGAATGATTTTTATGTACACGATTAGTTTACAACCCGGAGAGGGGAGCGGCAACGATGCGCGACAACATCTCAGCTACACGGCGCGATACAGATTCCACTCCCGGGATGGTAACATCCGTATGAAAACGAAATTTATGACCGATAGTACTCGCTCCACCCCCCTGAAATTCTTTAACTGGACTGGAAGGATCTCGCAAATAAGCGGTGTCTTCACAGGGAAAAAGAAGAAGCAAATATTCTTGAGCTGAGCTGGGAGCACGTGTTGCACGCAGAAAACTACGCGAGCTGTCACCTGTCTGACCGAGAGGTTGCAATGATAAAACAAAAAGTTACATACACAATTCGATTTAGTTTAAAAAATATGATTTAACTTCTTTAAGCCTGTCTGTTAAACTCAGCTTAATAATCAAACTTTCTTTTAGATTAGTGCCTTTAAAAGTAGCATCTCAAAGCGCTCAACGATAGGTGTACAAAATGTGAAAGCAGTGACAGGGATCGCAAACGACACAATTAGCACATAGAAGCAACAAGCGGTAAGACGTGCAGTAGAAGATATATGGTCATTCCGAAAAAGATTCTGACATAGACATTAATTAAATAACAGCCCTTTTGAAGTCTAGATTTATATGCACTCAGAGTAGGAGAGGCTGATATTCTTAGGGATAGAATTTGGGGCGCAGCATAAGAGGGCCCTGTCACACACAGAGTGTGAAGGAGCTTGGAGGACACATAGAAGACTAGAGTAAGACAAGCAAAGGTTGCAACGTGGGGAGAAGACAGATACAGTAAGTCAGATGAGTACTGAGGTGACAAGCCATGCAGAGCTGTTATTACAGGACAATAAAGTAATCTTTCTTAAGGTTACCAGACTCCAACTTTATTTAGCGCGCCATTACTGTGCATCTATTACTCTGGCTCCCATAACGACTGGATAAAGCAGTTAGAAAACAGATGGGCGGCATTTTATACACCCAGAAACTGCTGTAGTGAAAGTGTGCCGGGGCCAAATGAACATCCATGTTCTCGGGCGAGGTGCATGTGGAACTATTGCGGTTTTACAGAATTTAAGGGGATCGCAACTCCCTTGACAGTCAGCTGTCCCAAGTTTGTCCCGCTGTCCCTCTGTAAAACCCCGGTGAAGACGTCACTTTCTCGTCAAAGGTGTTCGAGAGGTCCGTGAAGGGGGTTTTCAGAACTCGGGTCTGGGAGAAGGCTCCATGAGCCTGACAGCCCGGATCTTGCACTGTCAGATTTCGGCCCTCTGACCTCACGGGGGTGGTCACTCTCCGTGATGACCACGGGCTCCACCTGCCTCAGCCCAGCTTGAACAGAGTGGGGCAACCCTCTACCAGTTAAGCAAACGAGATGGCTGATTTCACAAAACCACTTTAGTCACTGGCCCGCTCTTGAGTATAATAAAATACCAGAAAATAAAGGGAAGTGCTGTCTTCACACAAAGTGAAAGCTGAATTCCCTTACACAGTCTTTTTTTAATTAAAGTTACACTTTCTTGTTTCAGAATAGCACAAAGTTAAAATAAAGAAAGCCCACATACTTGCACAGTATCTGGATATTTTTATGGCACTATAAACAGCCTATCTGACCTCCTCCTGTAATGTCTATTCAAATACTTTCCTCAAAATACTTCCTACACTACATTTAGCTCTATGTAAAGCTACAAGTAGTGGAGACTGCAGTGCAGAGAATTGGAGATGCAAAAACCTCTTATATCCTTCCTGGCTCTTGTCTGTCTGCTTAAGACCGAGTCTAATTTTATTCTCAGATATTCTGTTTCAAGTGACAAAACCAGCCTTGAAACAGAAAAAAAAGCAGCCTGTTCTTTTGCATTCAGTTCATAGTTTTAAGTGAGTGAGCTGGCTATCCCAACTAGAGAGAGGTGTGAACTCTTTTCATTTCAAACCTGAGAAAGCAAAACAGTTTTGTGGTTTTGAATAGAAAATAGAAAATCTAAGGGTATTGTAATGTTTTCAGTAGTGGTATATTTTATATGGGCAGCACGGGGTACAGTGGTTAATATTGCTGACTCACAGTGCTGAGGCCCCTGGGTTCAATTCTGGACCTGAAGTGCTGTCTGCGTGGAGTTTGCATGTTCCCCTCTTCTTTGTATGGGTTTCCTCCAATTGCTCCA